CCCCGAAGGGGGCCCTGTCCCCAGGACTCACCTGCCTGCAGGAGACAGAAGACCACACAGCCCAGGAGGCAGGGGCTCATGGCGTGGGCGGGGCAGGCGGAGGGCCCTGTGGCCTGAGTGTGGATGAGAGGGGAGAGGGGCTCTGCAGGGAGTCCTTCTGAGATGTCAGTGTCCCTGCCAGGCCCTAGAGCCAACCTGTCACTCAGGGGGCCACGCCCCTTCCCCCTGAGGCTCAAATCAGAAGTGAACCTGAGAGAACTGTTCACAACAGGGAGTTCCATCCAGATAAATGGACATTGGCCTTATGAGTTCTTGTATCCTTTCTGTAAATAGTTTGCAACTTTAAGTGTGTTGTATTCCAGAGATAATTCTTCATTGCTATGTATGTTTATTTATCTACATACATCTGTAGAATAGCAAACTGGCTCAAAATTGGGAAAGGATTATATCAGGCTGTATATTGTCACCTGCTTATTTAGCTTATATGCAGAGGACACCATGTGAAATGCCGGGCTGCATGAAGCTCAAACTGGAATCAAGATGCTGGAAGAAATGTCAATAACCTCACATATGCAGATGACTCCACCCTATGCAGAAAGCAAAGAGAAATTAAAGAGCCTTTTGATGAAGATTACAGAGGAGAGTGAAAGGGCTAGCTTAAAACTCAATGTTTAAGGAACTAAGATCATGGAATCCAGGCCCATCACTTCTTGGGAAATAGATGGAGAAACAATGGAAATAGTGACAGACTTTATTTTCTTGGGCTCCAACATACTGCAGATCGTGACTGCAACCATGAAATTAAAAGATGCTTGCTTCTTGGAAGAAAACCTATGACCAACCTAGACAGCATATTATAAAGCAGAGACATTACTTTGCGAACAAAGGTCTGTCTAGTCAAAACCATGGTCTTTCTGGGCGTCATGTATGAATGTGAGTGTTGGAAAGTAAAGAAGGCTGAGTGCTTATGAATTGATGGTTTCAAACTGTAGTGCTGGAGAAGACTCTTGAACGACCCTTGGACTGCAAGGAGATCCAACCAGTCCATCCTAAAGGATATCAATCCTGAATATTCATTGGAAGGACTGAAGTTGAAGCTCCAATATTTTGGCCACCTGATGCAAAGAACTGAGCTATTGGAAAAGATTCTTATGCTGGGAAATATTGACGGCAAGAGAAGGGAATGACAGGGGATGAGATTGTTGGATGGCGTCACTGACTCGATGGACATGAGTTTGAGCAAGCTAAGGGAGATTGTGAAGGGCTGCAAAGCTTGTCACGCTGAAGTCCATGGGGTCGCAAAGAGTTGCACAGGACTTTACAACTGAACTACAGCAACATACTTCTGTAGTTTTGAAACTCAAGAAGAAAACCTTCTGGCTTCGTGCTGCCCTTTATGACTCAGCCATCACAGACTCCCTCAGATGTTTGTATCTACTTTGTCTAATTGACCACAGTGCTGTTCATTTCCTTACACAACAAATTCTCAATAATATTCAAACTGTGGACCCTGCAAACCATGGAGCTAGTCTTGAGCGCATGACTGTGGTGCCCTCCCGTGTGCTGGTCTCCACCGACTGTGACCACATGTCTTGGGTTTGGGTGACTAACCTTTCCCAAGACCTGAGAGTCAAAGATGCAGAATCTCAACTCAGAAGCAAGAAGGCGCCTCCCACGCTGTGTCCAGGCCTCACCTGCTCCCAGGAGACAGAGAGTCACACAGCAGAGGATGGCCTGGAACCCATGGCAGCATCAGAAGCCCAAGACCACTGCTAGCTGGGGGTGGGACTTCTGGGGTGAGTGGTGTAAAGTGCTGACCCTCCTGCTTCCCTGATTGGAGCATTTGCCTATGATGTCAGAGCTCTGTGTCCACAGGCTGACCTGTCTACTGTACTCCTTGCCAGGACGAAAGGTGAGCCCTTTATATCAACCCTGCCCTTCACAGACCCTGAGCAAGGGGTGGGTGTGAAGGGTGCCCCATTCCCATATGCCCACAACATAGCTCGTTGTCCTCTGCCTGCCCCTGCCTGACACTCAGCCAGGCACTCACCTGGCTGGGAATCACCAGGCAATCAGCTGACAATCACCCAGCCCTCACCAGCCACCCCAACCCCCTCACCTCCACTACCCTTGCAGCTCCAGGAGACCATCTCCTGGGCACATCCTGAGGATCCAGGCACATTCCCACTTTCCCTGGCAGTGAAGAGTCTCTACTGGTTCCACGTGTCCTGGGACCTCAGAATCTCAGGGATCTCAAACCTGCTTTCTCAGGCAGGCATGTAGCCAACGTTCCTTAAAGCTGCCCTCCCCAGGGTGAATCTCCACCCCTCCCAAGTCAATCTCCACCCCTCCCAAGTCACCTGGTTACCGTGAGCCCACAGCGCCTCCTCGTGGCCAAAGGTCCAGAGTCTCATGGATCTCTGCCTTCTGTCTAAAGCAAGAATGTAAACACCCCACACCCTGAACACACATACACACACACATACTCACACACATACACAACAAAACTTCTTCTACTGTCTTCCCAACCTGGCTGACTTCAGATTGGTCTTCAAATTCCCTCTTAGCCTCTGGAGGTAAAAGACTGTAGAAACCAACATTTCCATTAAGAAGAAAATAATTTCACTGACAGTAGCATGCATGCTCAGGTGGAATCACAGAGACCTTCAATAGAGACACTCTGATGAGCTCAGGTGAATACAGCTTGGGACACTGCTTTCCATAGATCCCTCTGATTAATCAGATCCACATATTTCTTGATTTTCTACATAAATTAACTATCACTCATTCTAGGTAATGGATTTATATACCGAGATCATATATTAACCCATTGATTATTAAAGTTATATAACTTTGAAATTAAAAAAACCAACCGTGCACTATATTTAACGTAGATGTAGCTGGGCGTGATAAGGGTCTGCACACTCAGTGTCACACCGCAGACATGTGGCCCTGGGCTCTGAGGCTCCGCGTGTGAGAAGCCTGCAAGGGGCTCTCCTACTTCCAGGCTGCAGGGCTTCCCTTATCTTTTTGCACAGAGAGGAGGTGGCCGTGCAGCACCGTGGAGTACCTGCTGGCCCAGAAGTACACAGATGTCTGGGACCGGTTGGCAGACTCCAGCATGAGAGGGAAGTTCTCTGTGCTTGTCTGGAGACACTGTACCCGTCGGACACGTCTCCTTTCTCCGTGGCAAGAGGGATAACTGAGTGATGGATCAGCCTCAGCCCGTGTCCCAAGTCTTGTCAGTACCAGTACATATAGCTATAGCTCAGATCCTGAGTAGATTAAGTGTTGCGCTCTGTCCTGTCCTCACGACCTGGAATCTGGGGTCCTGGGTGACACCAGCGTGGACCGCCCCTGGGGAGAAGGAGGACCAATGCTGCAGTCACAGCGGACATGCTCAGTGCTGGCACCCCCAAGGGGACCCTGCCCCCAGGACTCACCTGCCTGCAAGAGACAGAAGACCACACAGCCCAGGATGCAGGGGCTCATGGCGGGGGCGGGGCAGGCAGAGCGTCCTGTGGTCTGAGTGTGGATGAGAGGCGAGAGGGGCTCTCCAGGGAGTCCTTCTGAGATGTCAGTGTCCCTGCCAGGCCCGGAGCCGACCTGTGACTCAGGGGGCCACGCCCCTTCCCCCAGAGGCTCAAATCAGAAGTGAACCTATAGGAAGAGTTCACTACAGGGAGACCCATCTAGCTCAATAGGCATAAGCCTCACAAGTAGATGTAAACTTTCTATAAAACTAATTAAATTTTGTGTGTGTTCTAGTCCAGAGATAATTCTTCATTAATACATTTAATTCTTTATTTATCTGCATATTTCTGCAGTTTTAACTCTTGTGGAAATCCTCCTGGCTTCCCGTTGACTTTATGACTGATGTGACCCAGTAGGACTTCAAGGTTCCGTTTCCGCATAACTGACCACGGTCCTGAGATTGTCCTTTCACCTACCATGTTTCTCCAGGAATCTGCTCCCAAACTCATTGCATGCTCATCAACATCTGAGGAATTGTTTGGTCAATCTATCAATTCACTGACAGACGGTCCACCAGCTAAATGCAGGGACAGCTCGTTCACGTTCACAGGAGCCCATGTTTTCCGTGTCACGGGAGGGAACAAGCAGAGCCCCCTCAGGCCTGTGACCCACCTTTTTGGGTGTAGAGAAGCTGGTTGCCCACCACCCCAGATGACATATTGGCACAAAGGAATACAGACGTAGGAGGGACATGGCAAGAGGTGGCAGACTCCAGGGTAAGTGAAAAATGCTCTTTATTTATTGAGAAATTCTTTCCATGGGAATACCTCCTTGTGATGCACAGCTGCCATTCATTGAGTAACAGTTCATATCATACAGCCCCACACTGTGTCTGTTACACATAGCCCAGCACGTATATGGAATTTGCTCTGTATGGAGAAATTCCATGAGGAAAGGAACCACAGGTGCTGAGAACAAACTTGAGCGGAAGCCTAGTTGTAAGTTATGAAGTATGAGATCTTGGCAATTCCTGTCCCCTTAGATGTACAAAGAGTTAAAATAATACTTGTCTTGATGATCTTAGTGAGCATTAAAGCATAGAAAGAAATGAATGTCTGGGAAAGTCTATCACTCTACCAGAGACTGAGCTTGGCAGGCTGGCAGCTGACACCCTGGGCACCACTTCCTGAGCTGGGGCAGGGGTGTTTTTGTCCCAGAAACACCTGGTCATGCAGGGCTGTGTCTTGGCTGCTGAGGAATTGGGGGCCCTGACCCAGGGCCTGTTGGTTCCAGTACACAGAGCGGAGTCCAGATTCAGGGGACATCTCAGCGTCACTTGCTGTTTTCCTAATTTGATCAGGTACTTGGGTGTGTGGGTGACTTCAGAATCCACCAGGCCTGTAGGGAGGAGACAAGGAAGCTGAGGGCAGAGCGCAGGGGAAGCCTCCTGCTTCAACCCTCATCACCGGGCTTCTGTCGCAGGGTGACAAAACATCTCAGAAACTACCCAATGTGTCCAGACTCACTTGCTACCAGGAGGCAGAAACTCACACAGCAGAGGAGCCTGGTGCCCATGGCAGCATCAGGAACCCAAGACTACTGCTGGCTGGGGGCGGGGCTCCTGGGGTGAGTGGTGTAAGTGCTGACTCTCCTGCTTCCCTGATTGGAGCCTTTGCCTATGATGTCACTGCTCTGTGTCTCTGCAGGCTGCCCTTGTCCCCTGGACCCCATAGCATTACCCAGGGCTGGCTCCTCTATGCCATTCCCTGTCCTGACAGCCCCTCAGCAAGTTTGGCTGTGAGGTAATTTCGTCCCCTGGTCCCATGTGCCCAAAACATGTCTTGTTCTCCTCTGCCTGACACTCAGCCCCAAGACCTCACCAACCACCCCAACCCCTACACCTCCTCCTCACATGCTGATCCAGGATATGACCACCGTGAACATCCTGAGGTTCCAGGAATGTCCCCAGTTCCCTGGGCAGGGTAGGAGTCTGTGCTGGTTCCATGTGTCTTGGAACAATTCAGGGAACTCAAACCTCCTTCCAGATGCAGGCATGATATAGCCAAGGTTCCCTTAAACTGCCCTCTCCAGAGAGATTCTCAACCCCTCCCAATACACCCTACTTACCTTGGAGACACAGTGCCTCCAAGTGGCCAAAAGTCCAGGGTCTCATGGATTTGCACCATCTGTTTAAAGCAAGGGTACAAAAATCCAGGACCCTGCACACACACACACACACACACACACACACACACACACACATCTGTTCTACTGCCTTCCTAGCCTGGCTGATAGGGTTTATCTTCAAATCCACTCTTAGCCTCTGGAGGCAGAAGACTTTATGATCCAAACTTTTTACAAAGAGAGAAATGATTGCGGCACCACTACAATGATGTAGTTATCTAACATGGAAATATATAATCATAGAATAAATGCTCTGAGGATCTCAAGTGAATCTGCCAGCAAATATGTATTCCATAACTACTTGTGATTAATCAGATGTATATATTTCCAGATTGTGTATTTAAATTGAGCATTATCAAATTCTACAGAAAACTTTTTATAAAGAAGTTTTAGAAACATGAAATCATCTTTTTCTGCACGTATAAAATCTTGATATAGTGGGGTTGATGTATGATATATTTTGACTTTGAGAAGATTTTGATGAGGGCGCCAGGTGGTGGCAACCTGGCCTTGGTTAGATGAGATGCTAAGGAAGTCAGGGCGGGCGGGAAGGTGGGAGAACACACAAAGATCATCTGTCCCCCTGAGGTGAACTCCCATGAGTTTTTGGATGATTGATGATTAACTGGAGTTGATGTCTCTTTGATGATTCCATCGAGCTTGCTCAAAGCAGAGCACGTGGAGGGGCCACTTTAGAAGCCTCCCTGCACAAAGAGAAGAGACCTGAGCCAGATGAGGGAGGAGCCTGTGGCTATGGGAGAGAGGGCCAGGGAGCTGATGCAGAGAGGTGGGGAGAGGAATGTCCTGACTGCCTGGGAAAGGTGGGCGAGAGAAGAGAGCATGTGAGAGTCAGGCTGGGGGAGAACCTTCCAGAGAGACATTGAGGAAGTGCCTGAGGTAAGACAGGAGGGCCTATTTAAATCTAATTGACCAACATCCTTCCCTCCTAGAGGTCTCAGGCTCAGGTGATGACTAGGAGTCAGAGCTGGGGAAGCATCTTCCTGGTTCACAGGGAGGATGCAGTGGAAAGACAAAGAGACCCATGGTGGACACATGGCCCCGAGGCCCGGGAGTGAGGTTGGGGCAGTGTTGTCCACACACCCAGGGTCACACTGCAGGCACGTGGCCAGCAAAGGCCCAAGTTTTCTGGTGCTAGGAGCCTGCTCGTGGGCACCTAGTAATTTTTGCACAGAGAGGAGGTGGCCGTGCAGCGCTGTGGAGTAACTGCTGGCGCAGAAGTACACAGATGTCTGGGAGCGGTTGGCAGACTTCAGCGTCAGAGGGAAGTTCTCTTTGTTTGATCTGGAGATGCTGTAACCCTCGTGCACATCTCCCGGCTCGCTACTGGGCGCAGCAGCTGAGTAATAGATCAGCCTCAGCCCGTGTCCCGGGTCTTGTCGGTACCAGTACATAGAGTTATGTCCCAGATCCTGAGTACATTTCAGTGTCGCGCTCTGTCCTGTCCTCACGACCTGGAATCTGGGGTCCTGGGTGACACCAGCGTGGACCGCCCCTGTGGAGAAGGAGGCCCGATGCTGCAGTCACAGCGGACATGCTTCGTGCTGGCACCCCCAAGGGGACCCAGTCCCCAGGACTCACCTGCCTGCAGGAGACAGAAGACCACACAGCCCAGGAGGCAGGGGCTCATGGTGGGGGTGGGGCAGGTGGAGGGCCCTCTGGTCTGAGTGTGGATGAGAGGGGAGAGGGGCTCTGCAGGGAGTCCTTCTGAGATGTCACCGTCCCTGCCAGGCCCCAGAGCCAACCTGTCACTCAGAGGGCCACGCCCCTTCCCCCAGAGGCTCAAATCAAAGATGAACCTCAGAGAGTCACTTCCTAGACTGGTTGATAAGAAGTCCAGGGTCCCCGAGGAAGAGAAATAAGCCCAGAGCCCTAGAGAAGGTGAAAGGGGTCCAGGGCTCTCAAGGAGAAAAGAACATTTTTTCTACATTGCTTTGTTTAGTCAATAGAGCACTGTATCTTGCTCGAGGAGATGTTTCTCCTTCCCAAGAACCTTCTAACTAATCTTGTTATCTTAAGATATATTTTGTGGAAGTGGGTTCGGTGAGACCTTTCTATTGTCAGTTCTAATCTTGTTAGTTTGAGATGTATGTGGGTCTGATAAAACTATATAAGGCCTTGATAAGACTAGCAAGTGGGGGCACTCTCCCTCCCCCTTCAATGTCTATGTCAGAAGCTTTCCTTGTCCCTTTTTATACTTTAATAAAACTCAGCTACACAAAATCTCTTGAATGATCAAGACTGGTCCCTGGTCCCGAAGCTAAATCGTCTTCTCATATCATGAGTCCAACAACTTTCAATGGAAGCTATCAAACCTGAGTGAACAGTTCCTAACAGGGAGACCCATTCAGCTCACTGGACATAAGCCTTACAAGTTGCTGTAATCTTTCTGTGAAACTGATCAAATTTTTGTATGTTCTAGTCCAGAGATAATTTTTCATTAACACACATGTTACATTTATTTATCTGCATATTTCTGTAGTTTTAAGTCTTGGGAAATCCTTCTGGCCTCCTGTTGCCCCTTATGACTCATGTGTCCCAACAGGACTTCAAGGCCTATTTACACTTTAATTGACTGCAGTCCTGAGAATGTCCCTCCAACTACCATGTTTCTCCATGTGTCTGATCCTAACCTTTCAAAAGCTCATCAACACTGAGGAATTGTTTAGTCTGTTTCTTATCAATTCACTGACAGTTGGTCCACCAGCCAAAGGCAGGTACAGCTCCTTCAGGTTCACAGGAGCCCCTGCTCCCCAGGTCCGGGGAGGGAGCAAGCAGATACCCTCAGGCCTGTGACCTACCTTTCTGAATGGAGAGAAGCTGGTTGCCCAGCATGGGTGACTTATTGGCACAAAGGAATGCAGACTTAGGAGGGACATGGAGGGAGATGCAGACTCCAGAATAAACAAAAACTGCTCTGTTTTTCTTTGAGAGATTCCTCCCATGGGAATACCTCCTTGTGAAGCAGGGCTGCCATTCACTGGATAACAATTCGTATCACAGAGCCCCAAACTCTGTCTTGTTACACATGACCGCCATGCATATCTAATTTGTTCTGTAGGGAGGCAGTCCCACTGGGGGCAAGGGGCCACAGGTGCCAAGAACGGACCTGACTCAGAGTCCTTGCTACAATAATTATGGAGTATGAGACCTGGGCAATCATGTTCACTCAGATGTGTAACAGTTAAAATAATATGTACCTTGCATGACCTCTGTGAGCACTAAAATATATCAAGAAATGAACATCTGGGGAAGACTGTCTACTCTAGAAGGGACTGGGCTTGCCAGGCTGGCAGTCCACACACTCACTACCACTTCCTGAGCTGGGGCAGGAGTGTTTTTGTCCCAGAGGCACCTGGTCATGCAGGGCTTTGTCTTGGCTGCTGGCACAGAGATCCAGGGTGGAGTCTGTCAGCTCCAAGGAGCCCAACTTCCGCTCCGAGCAAAGATCACTGAACTGTTCTGAGAATCGATCTGATATGATTACTTTCTCACTAACTTCCCTGTTGTAACACTGAATGAGGAATTGAGGGCCCTGACTCAGGGCCTGTTGGTACCAGTACACAGAGAGATGTTCAGATTCAGGGGAACATCTCAGCATCACTTGCTGCTTTCTTGATTTGATCAGGTATTTGGGGGTCTGGGTGACTTCAGAATCCATCAGGCCTGTTGGGGAAGAGACAGAAGGAAGCTGAGGGCAGAGCACAGGGAAGCCTCCTGGTGCAGCCCTCATCGCCGGGCTTCTATCTCAGGGAGGCAAAGACATCTCAGAAGCTCCCGCAATGAGTCCAGGACTCACCTGGCCCCAGGAAGCACTCACACAACAGAGAAACCTGGAGCCCATGGCATCAAAATGAACCCAAGACTGCTGCTGGCTGGGGGCGGGTCTCCTAGGGTAAGTGGGATAAACTGCCCATCCTCCTGCTCCCTGATTGGAACATTTGCTTATGATGTCACAGCTGTGTGTCTCTGCAAGTTGCCCTACCCACTGTACACCCTGCCAGGACCAAAGGTGAGCCCTCTATACCATTCTATGCCCTTCACAGACCCTGAGCAAGGGGTGGGTGTGAAGGGTGCCCCACTCCCATATGCCCACAACATAGCTCGTTGTCCTCTGCCTGCCCCTGCCTGACACTCAGCCAGGCACTCACCTGGCTGGGAATCACCAGGCAATCAGCTGACAATCACCCAGCCCTCACCAGCCACCCCAACCCCCTCCCCCCACTTCGCTTGCAGCTCCAGGAGACCATCTCCTGGGCACATCCTGAGGATCCAGGCACATCCCCACTTTCCCTGGCAGTGAGGAGTCTGTACTGGTTCCATGTCCTGGAACCTCAGGAACTCAGGGATCTCAAACCTGCTTTCTCAGGCAGGCATGTAGCCAAGGTTCCTTAAAGGTGCCCTCCCCAGGGTGAATCTCCACCCCTCCCAAGTGCCCCTGCTCACCTTGAGCCAACAGTGCCTCCTAGTGGCCAAAGGTCCAGAGCCTCATGGATCTCTGCCATCTGTCTAAAGCAAGAATGTAAACACCCCACACCCTGAACACACACACACACACTACACACACACACACACACACACACGTTCTACTGTCTTCCCAACTTGGCTGACTTCAGATTGGTCTTCAAATTCCTTCTTAGCCTCTGGAGGTAAAAGACTGTGGAAACCAACATTTCCATTAAGAAGAAAATAATTTCACTGACAGTAGCATGCTCAGGTGGAATCACACAGACCTTCAATACAGACACTCTGATGAGTTCAGGGGAATAGAGCCTGGGACACTGCATTCCTTAGATCTCTCTGATTAGTCAGATCCACATATTTCTTGATTTTCTACATAAATTAAATATCACTAATTCTAGGTAATGGATTTATATTCAGAGATTATATATTAACCCATTGATTATTAAAGTTATAAAAGTTTGAAATTAAAAAAACCAACCGTGCACTATATTTAACGTAGATGTAGCTGGGCGTGATAAGAGTCTGCACACTCATTGTCACACTGCAGACATCTGGCCCTGGGCTCCGAGGCTCCGCGTGTGAGAAGCCTGCAAGGGGCTCTCCTACTTGCAGACCGCTGGGCTTCCCTTATCTTTTTGCACAGAGAGGAGGTGGCCGTGCAGCGCCGTGAAGTAACCACTGGCACAGAGGTACACAGATGTCTGGGAGCGGCAGGCAGACTCCAGCGTGAGAGGGAAGTTCTCTGTGCTTGGTCTAGAGACGCTGTACCCTCAGGCACATCTCCTTTCTCCGAGTTGGGAGCAGCAGCTGAGTAATGGATCAGCCTCAGCCCGTGTCCCAGGTTGTCTGTACCAGTACATATAATCATGGTTCAGATCCTGAGTACATTTCAGTGTCGCGCTCTCTCCTGTCCTCACGACCTGGAATCTGGGGTCCTGGGTGACACCAGCGTGGACCGCCCCTGGGGAGAAGGAGGACCGATGCTGCAGTCACAGCGGACATGCTCAGTGCTGGCACCCCCAAGGGGACCTAGTCCCCAGGACTCACCTGCCTGCAGGAGACAGAAGACCACACAGCCTAGGAGGCAGGGGCTCATGGCGGAGGCGGGGCTGGCGGAGGGCCCTCTGCTCTGAGTGTGGATGAGGTGGGAGAGGGGCTCTGCAGGGAGTCCTTCTGAGATGTCACTGTCCCTGTGAGGCCCCAGAGCTGACCTGTCACTCAGGGGGCCACGCCCCTTCCCCCAGAGGCTCAAATCCGAATTGAAGCTGAGAAAACTGTTCAGAACAGGGAGACCCATCCAGATCAACGGACATAAGCTCACAAATTGCTGTAACGTTTCAGTAAATGTTAAAGATTTTTTCTGTAAATGCTAAACTGATTAAATGTTTTCTATGTTCTAGTCCACAGATAAGTCTTCATTAACATGTATATTACTTGTATTTATCTACGTATTTCTGGAGTTTTGAATCCTGGGGAATCCTTCTGGTGTCCTCCTGCCCTTTATGATATGTGTCCCAATAGCACTTCACGGCTTTATTTCTGCAACATTGACTGCAGTCCTGAGAATGTCCCTCCACCTACCATGTTGCTCCAGGTTTCTGCTCCCAACCTCATCACAGGCTCATCAACATTTGAGGAAATGTTTGGTCTGTTTCTAATCAGTTCACTGACAGACGGTCCACCGGTCAAACGCAGGTACAGCCCCTCCATGTTCGCACGTGTTTCCCGTGTTGGGGGGAAGGGAGCCAGCAGAGCCCCCTCAGGCCTGTGACCCACCTTTCTGGGTGGAGAGAAGCGGGGTGCCCAGCACAGGATGACGTGAGGAAGGAGGGACGTGGAGGGAGCTGCAGATGCCAGGGTAAATGAAAAAGGTTCTGTTTTTATTTGAGACATTCCTCCCATAGGAATACCTTCTTGTGAAGTGTGGCTGCCATTCATTGAGTAGCAATTCATATCATAGAGCCCCAAATTGTATCCTGTTACACATAATACAACGTGTATATGTAATTTGCTTGTACAGAGAAAGATCCTTGAGCAAAGGGACCACAGGTTTAGAAAACAGACTTGAGCTGGATTGCAAACTATAACACTTATGAAGTATGAGATCTGGGCAATTCACGACCCCTCAGATGTACAATCAGTTAAAATAATACTAATCTTGATGACCTTAGTGAGCATTAAAACATACCAAGAAGTGAATGTCTGGGAAAGTCTATCGCTCTACCAGAGGCTGGGCTTGACAGGCTGGCAGCTGACACCCTGCCCACCACTTCCTGAGCTGGGGCAGGAGTGTTTTTGTCCCAGAGGCACCTGATCATGCAGGGCTGTGTCTTGGCTGCTGGCACAGAGATACAGAGCGGAGTCTGTCAGCTCCAAGGGGGTCAAGCTCAGCTCAGAGCGAGAGCCACTCAACTGTTTTACTGAGAATCGATCCGATATGTTTCCTTTTTGATACTCTTCCCCATCAAAATACTGAACGAGGAACTGGGGGCCCTGGCCCAGGGCCTGTTGGTACCAGTACACGGAGCGTTGCCCAGATTCAGGGGAACACATCAGAGTCGCTTGCTGCTTTCTTGATTTGATCAGGTACTTGGGGGTCTGGGTGACTTCAGAATCCAGCAGGCCTGTTGGGGAGGAGACAAGAAAGCTGAGGGCAGAGCACAGGGAAGCCTCCTGCTGCAGCCCTCATCTCCGGGCTTCTATCGCAGGGAGGCAAAGCATCTCAGAAGCTCCTGCGCTGTGTCCAGGACTCACCTGCTCCCAGGAGGCAGAGAGTCACACAGCAGAGGAGCCTGGCGCCCATGGCAGCATCAGGAACCCAAGACTGCTGCTGGCTGGGGGCGGGGCTCCTGGGCTGAGTGGTGTAAGTGCTGACCCTCCTGCTTCCCTGATTGGAGCATTGCCTATGACGTCACTGCTCTGTGTCCCTGCAGGCTGTTTCCTGATCCACTGGACCCCTGGCCAGGTCCCATGGTGGGCTCCTCTATGCCCTTCCCCGTCCTGCACAGCCCCTCAGCAAAGGGTGGGTGTGAGGTGAGCACTGTCCCCAAATGCCCATAATGTGGCTTTCTCTTCTCTTCCTGTCCCTGCCTGACACTCCTCACCCAGCCCTCACCAGCCACACTAATCCATCACCCACCGCTCCCCACGCTGCCCCAGGAGACGCCCCCTGGGCACATCCTGAGGATCCAGGCAGGTCCCCACTCCCCTGGGTAGTGAGGTGTCTGTGCTGGGTCCATATCTCTGGACCACTCAGGGAACTCAAACCTGTTTTCTGATGCAGGCATGTAGCCAAGGTTCCCCTAAGCTGCCCTCCCCAGGGTGACTCTCAACCCCTCCCAGGGCACCACCTTACCACGGACCCACAGTGCCTCCTAGTGGCCAGTGATCCACAGCCTCACCCATCTGTGCCTTCTGTCTAAAACAAGAATAGAGATCCCCCACACTCCACACTTTCAACCCCTACACACACACACACACACACACACACACACACAAACACACACATCCCTCATCTGCTCCCTTACCCGCCTGGCTGAACTAGGGTTGATCTTCAAGTCTAGTCTTGGGCTGTGGAGGTAAAAGACTGTATGATCAGACATTCCTGCTAAGAAGGAAATAATTGCTGGGCCACTACAATGACAGCAGTTAGCTAAAGTGGAGTAATACAGGCAATAGAAATAAGCCCTCTCATGATCTCAAATGACGCCAGCCTTGACACCTGGATTCGAGACCTCTTTCTGATTAATCAGATCCATATATTTACCGATTTCATATTTAAATTAAGCATTACCAAAGTCTAGCTATTGCATTTTATTAAGAAGTTTTATGGGTATTAACTTATTTATTTCCTATGAACTTGTAAAATCTTGTTATAATAAGATACCATGGAGGAAATATTTTGACTTTGAGAAGATTTCTCTGAGGGAAATAGTGGAAAACTGGTCCAGGGTAATTGAGATGCTAAGAAAGAGGAGCAGGGAGGGAGAACACACACACCCAGCCTCTCTCTCTTCCTTTGAATGGACTCCCGAGGGATTTTGGATGGTGTCTAAGTAACTGAGGTTGTTTTCTCTTTGATGACCACAAGAGCTTTCTCAAACACAACCACTTAGGCATGGTTACAAAGTTCCCTGTGTCATGGGAAGGGCCATGACCCAGATGAGGGGAGAGCAGTGTGCCTGGAGCAGAGAGGGCAGGGGAGCTGAGGCCAAGACAGTAAAGGGGGACAGACCGGCCCCTCCGGTGGGCAAGAGCAAGGAGCACTTGAGAGCTAGGCTGGGGGAGAAACCTCCAGAGAGACAGCAGTGAGGTGCTGGGGAGACACAAGTGGGTCTAGATGTATCTGATTTACCATCATCCTTCCCTCCTGGGGGTCTTGAGCTGATGAGTAACAGTCAGAACTAGTCAGAACTGGATGCTTTCCGAAAGAGAGACGGATGGTGGACACATGTCTCTGAGTCCCTGGGGTCAGATCCAGGCCTGTTCAGATCGCACATCCAGGGTCACAGTGCTGGCACGTGGTCCCCAGGGCATGAGGCTCCCGGGGCTAGGAACCTGCACGAGGCCCCCTGTCTTTCTGCACAGAGAGCAGGTGGCCAGGAAGCGCCGTGGAGTCACTGCTCGTGCAGAAGTACACGGAGGTCTGGGAGCGGTTGGCGGACTCCAGCGTGAGAGGGAAGTTCTCTGTGCTTGGTCTGGAGACGCTGTACCCGTCGGGCATGTCTCCTGGCTCGCTATTGAGCGCACCAGCTGAGTAATAGATCAGCCTCAGCCAGGTCTTGTCAGTACCAGCACATAGAGTTATGACCCAGATCCTGAGTACATTTCAGTGTCGCGCTCTGTCCTGTCCTCACGACCTGGAATCTGGGGTCCTGGGTGACACCAGCGTGGACCGCCACCGTGGAGAAGGAGGACCGATGCTGCAGTCACAGCGGACATGCTTCGTGCTGGCACCCAAAGGGGACCCTGCCCCCTGGGACTCACCTGCCTGCAGGAGACAGAAGACCACACAGCCCAGGAGGCAGGGGCTCATGGCGGGGGCGGGGCAGGCGGAGGGCCCTCTGGTCTGAGTGTGGATGAGAGGGGAGAGGGGCTCTCCAGGGAGTCCTTCTGAGATGAATCTGTCCCTGCCAGGCCCCAGAGCCAACCTGTCACTCAGGGGGCCACGCCCCTTCCCACAGATGCTCAAATAAAAAATGAACCTGAGTGAACTGTTCACATCTGACCGACCTAGCCAGCATATTAAAAAGCAGAGACATTACTTTGTCAACAAAGGTCCCTCTAGTGAAATCTATGGTTTTTTCCAGTAGTCATGTATGGATGTGCGAGTTGGACTATAAAGAAAGCTGAGCACCGAAGAACTGATGCTTTTGAACTGTGATGTTGGAGAAGACTCTTGAAAGTCCCTTGGACTGCAAGGAGATCCAAGAAGTCCATCCTAGAAAAATCAGTCCTGAATATTCATTGGAAGGACTGATGCTGAAGCTGAAACTCCAATACTTTGGCCACCTGATGCAGAGAACTGACTCATTTGAAATGACTCAGATGCTGGGCAAAATTGTAGGCTGGAAGAGAAGGGGACAACAGAGGATGAGATGGTTGGGTGGTATCACCAACTCGATGGACATGTGTTTGAGTAAATTCCGGGAGGTGGTGATGGACAGGATAGCCTGACGTGCTGCAACCCATGGGGTCGAAAAACGTCAGACACGACTCTGCGACTGAGCTGAACTGAACAGTTCCCAACAGGGAGACCTATCCAGCTCACTGAACATAAGCCTTACAATTTGTTGGAAACTTTCCGTAAAACTGTTCACAACTTTATCGACACTTTATTCCAGAAATAGCTCTTCATTAATACATATATTCAGTTTATTGATCTCTAGTTTATTATTTCTGTAGTTTTGAATCCCAGGGAAATTCCTCAGGGCTTCCTGCTGCCGTTTAGGACTCACATGTCCCAAATCATCCCTCATGTTTCTACCTTGTTTAACTGACAACAGTCCTGTTCATGTCCTGCCACCCACAACGATTCTGGACCAGTTTCCCCAACCTTAGGGCAGGCTCATCAACACATGAGGAATCCTTGGGCTCTCTTTCTTATTAATTCACCGACTGACGGGGTGCCTGTCGAATGCAGGCTCAGTGCCGTCATGTTCACCTGAGCACGTGCTTCTGCTGTCTGAGGGGTGGGGGAGCAGCAGGCCGAACCACCTCAGGCCTGTGGCCCACCTTGCTTTGAGGAGAGAAGCTGGCTGCCCAGCACCATGGATGACATGTTGGCACAAAGGAGTCCAGACGTGGAGGGATGTCGGGAGAGATGGCTGACCCCGGAGCAAAGGAAAAATAATCCGATTTTACGTGAGACAAACATTGCATGGGAGTACTTCCTTGTGAAGCGTGGCAGCCATTCAGTAGCTGAGGTCCTAGAGCCTAGACTCTGTCACATCGCACAACCTCACGTTTAGAAGGACCCAGTACTAGCTGCCATGCGCTGCTGCAGTGATTTTCAACTTCTCAATGATGTCTGAACCTGAATATCATGCACCTGGTCATGAGTGGGTGACCGTGGTGACCTCCTGATGTGCTGGTCTCACGTCTGGGGTCTGGGGGACTAACCATTCCTGGGGCCTCAGAGACAAAAACCAGAAACTAAAGTCAGAAGAACGAATAAGCCCGATGTTGTAGCTACAAAAACAAGCCTTGAATTGGGCCTGGCAAGGCCATGGGATCCACACCTGTGGTCGGAGTGTCTATGGTCCAAGAGACAGTGGGACCCACAACACAGGAGCCTAGTGCCCAGGCCAGGCCGCTACAGAAAGGGGGACTTTTCAACTCAACTCCTGTGACTTGAACGCTGGGGTCAACTCAAAGGCAAGCTTCTCCTGACATGAAATGTCTCTCATTTTGGTGAGGTCATGGCGCCCAAACTTCACATTATTCAAATGTTTACTATAGTTCATATGCCAATAAATTTAATGTAAAAACACCTGAGGGTACATTACATGCTCAGTTTATCTCATGAATTGAACCAACAAACACAATTACTTTCTTTCTTTCCTGTGAATTCTGAAGACCTCAAGTATAGGGCTTGAAGTCACAATGTGTCCATATCTATTTTGGGACCTAGAAAGCACTAGAGGAGGCTGTCAGAGATTAGCAAAGGGAGTCAAGAAATCCAAAGTCCTGTTACCTGCCAGGGACTGCATGCTTACTAAATTCTTGCGCAACCCTGTAAGATGGTGTCCTGACTGATAACAATATGTCAACTTGACTCTGCATTGGATATTTAGCTTTATTTTTCTGGGTGCTCCAAAGAGGGATATTTTTTGGCTCAGTCAGTAAAGCGTCTGCCCACAATATGGGAGACCCAGGTTCGATCTCTGGGTCACGAAGATCCTCTGGAGAAGGAAATGGCAATCCACTCCAGTACTCTTGCCTAGAAAATTCCATGGATGGAGGAGCCTGGTGGGCTACAGTCCGTGGGTTGCAAAGAGTTGGACATGACTCAGCGACTTCACTTTCAACATGTGAATAGGTATATTTTAATAATAGATTAGATTAACATTCTAATTTGTAAAGCAGATGACCCTCCATGGGCTTCATGAAACCAGGTGAAGTGATGAAGAGACGAAAACACTGATCTTCCCCCAAGTAAGAGATAATTGTCAGCCGATGGCCATCACCCTGGGCCATTAGTTCTTCTGCTTTTCAACTTAAACATTAACTCCCCCTCAGTCTCTAGAGGCACCAGACCCGCTTGCAGCTTTTGGACTTACCAGTCTTAACAAATATGTGAGCCAGTTACTTTAAAACATGTACGTGTGTATGTGTGTGTATGTGTGTGTGTGTGTGTGTTTATGTGTATTATTTATTCTATGTGGGGGACAGTTTTATAGGGGCGAGTACCACAAGTAATGAGGACAGGGTTGAATCAAATTCCTTGCTCTGAAAGGAATGACATATAAGATGCGGACAAGTCACTTCCACTCAGATGTGTAAACAGGTAAAATAATACTTACCTAGGATGATCCTTGGAAGCATTAAAACACATCAGAGGAAGAATGTCTGGGAGAGTCTATCAGACCTTTGTAGGCCTGGAAGGCAGGCAGTCACCCTCACCACACTTCCTGAGCTGGGATAGGAGAGTTTTTGTTCCACAGGCACCTGATCACGCAGGGCTGTGTCTTGGCAGCTGGCACAGAGATACACGGCTGAGTCTGTCAGCTCCAAGGAGCTCAAGTTCAGCTCAGAGCTGGAGTCACTGAACTGTTCTCCTGAGAATCGATCCGGGAGCTGTGCTTCTCCCCTCACTTCCTGCCTGTAATACTGAATGAGGAACCGGGGGCCCTGGCCCAGGGCCTGTTGGTACCAGTACAGAGAGAGGTGTCCAGAGACAGGGGAGCATCCCAGGGTCACTCGCTGTCCTCTTGCTTTAATCAGGTATCTTGGGGTTTGGGTGACTCCAGCATCCACAAGGCCTGTGGGGGAAGAAGACTGGGGCTGAGAAAGAAACCAGGAGAGAACCCGATGGTGCCTTGGTTTCAGGTAAAGGCAGCCTAGGAACAGGGATTCTCTCCTGTGCCAAGGACCCACCTGCTGCCAGGAGACAAAGAGCCACACAGCAGACGGGGCTGCAGCCCATGGCAGGAGGGGCAGAACTGTCTGGCGTCTCCTTGCTCAGAGCTCTGCTTCTCTGAGAGCTGGGGTTCTGGGCCTCCGTCCTCTGATTGGAGGTGAGACAGTGATGTCACTGCTCTGATGTCATTGCCTATGCTGGGTCCCAGGAACCTGACCTCTCATTCCAGGTCAGCTGATCCAGGAACCCTGCTCTGTCCTGCAGTCTCCTAGATGACGCGTGAGCTGGACTGCTGGCCTGGGCGAGGCTGGGTTGATGCCCGACGCCCTTCCCCATGGCTCCTTCCCTTCTCTCTTCAGGCCAGTGTTTCTCTTTTCTGTTACTTTCCTACCAAATCCCAGCTCCATACCCTTCACTTTTTCTGCAACCTCAGAGGCTCCTTCAGCATTGCATACTTGAAGTTCATGGATCCCAGCTGGGACAGCTAGCCTGCAAATTAGTGCATATGCTAGTCAGGCTTCTAGAGATTAAAAACCCCAAATGAAGCTTTCTCTCAACCCTTCTGGTCCCATGCACTAGCACTGTCCCCTTGCTCTGCCCCAGAAACTACTGGAGTTTGGCAGTTCCACAGCGTCCCCCTGTGGTCTATGTGTGGAAGCCAAGATTTTCTGCCCAGATTTACTAGTCACGGGAAGTTTTTATATTAGAAAATATTTCACTGTTTGCCGACCGCACTGTGTATTTGCTTCTTTTGTTTTTCTAAAGAACATACACACAATCAGAAATACAAACACACAAACCAGCCTGCCTTAATTGTTTTATAATTTTGTATTTCAAGATTAAAAAAGGTGTTCTTGCAGGAAATATTTAATACTTTGACTTTTAGAGGATTGTGATGAGGAAAATGCTACAAACTTGGGTTAGTTTTTGTTGGTGATGGTGGTGTTCAAGTGCTAACTCCAGTCGAACTCTTTCAGACCCCTTGCATTGTAGCGCTCCAAGCTGCCCTGTTCTTCACTATCTCCCAGAGTTTGCTCAAATTCATGTCTGTTGAGTCGGTGATGCTATCTAACCACCTCTTTCTCTGCCACCCCCTTCTCCTTTTGCTCTCAGTCTTTCCCAGCATCAGGGTCCAGGCTATGTCGATGCTACAGACAGGCCGTGGTGGAGACACACTCACCGCTCGTCCCTCCCTCTGCTGAGGGGCCACAGAGGGATCACGGGTGACTCATCACTGACTGCGGGGGCGTTCTCTCTGAGGGCCCCAGGAAGCCTACTCAAACAGGACCGCTTCGGGATCATTACAAGGTTCCCTGGGTGACGGGCAAGGACATGACCCAGGTGACGGAGGAGAAGCAAGGCTGAAGTTGAGAAGAGTGGGAACGAGGGCCAGGAAGGTGGGAGACAAAAGACCCCACATCTGCGGAAGTTGGACAAGAGCAGAGACCACACAAGGGCCAGCCTTGGGGAGAACTTTCCACAACCATAGGCATGTGGTCCCCGGGGAGAGACAAGAGGGTCTAGATGTACCTGATTTCCCAACACGCTTCCCTCCTGGAGGCCTCATTTTCAGACTGATGACTAAGAGTCAGAGCTGGCTAGCATCTTTAATTCAGGCTCCCGTGGCAGCTCCGGTGAAAATACAGAGAGTGAGAGCGGACACATGTCCATGAGGCCCTGTTGTCAGGTCTGTGCCAGCCAAGATCAAAACTGCAGGCTATACGGCCAGAGTGTGTCTGTGGGCTCCGAGTCTCCAGGTGCTAGGAGTCTGCAAGGGGCTCCCCAAGTTCCAGGCTGTAGGGCCCTCATCTGGCTTTTTGCACAGAGAGGAGGTGGCCGTGCAGCGCCGTGGAGTCACTGCTGGCACAGAAGTACACAGATGTCTGGGAGCGGTTGGCAGACTTCAGCGTCAGAGGGAAGTTCTCTGTGCTTGGTCTGGAGACGCTGTACCCGTCGGGCACGTCTCCTTTCTCCGTGTTGGGAGCCACAGCTGAGTAATGGATCAGCCTCAGCCCGTGTCCCGGGTCTTGTCGGTACCAGTACATAGAGTTATGACCCAGATCCTGAGTATATTTCAGTGTCGTGCTCTGTCCTGTCCTCACGACCTGGAATCTGGGGTCCTGGGTGACACCAGCGTGGACCGCCCCTGTGGAGAAGGAGGACCGATGCTGCAGTCACAGCGGACATGCTCAGAGCTGGCACCCCGAAGGGGGCCCTGTCCCCAGGACTCACCTGCCTGCAGGAGACAGAAGACCACACAGCCCAGGAGGCGGGAGCTCATGGCGGGGGTGGGGCAGGCGGAGGGCCCTGTGGCCTGAGTGTGGATGAGAGGGGAGAGGGGCTCTCCAGGGAGTCCTTCTGAGATGTCAGTGTCCCTGCCAGGCCCCAGAGCAGACCTGTCACTCAGGGGGCCACGCCCCTTCCCCCTGAGGCTCAAATCAGAAGTGAACCTGAGAGAACTGTTCACAACAGGGAGTTCCATCCAGATCAATGGTCATTGGCCTTATGAGTTCTTGTATCCTTTCTGTAAATAATTTGCAACTTTAAGTGTGTTGTATTCCAGAGATAATTCTTCATTGCTATGTACCTTTATTTATCTACATACATCTGTACAATAGCAAACTGGCTCAAAATTGGGAAAGGATTATATCAGGCTGTATATTGTCACCTGCTTATTTAGCTTATATGCAGAGGACACCATGTGAAATGCCGGGCTGCATGAAGCTCAAACTGGAATCAAGATGCTGGAAGAAATGTCAATAACCTCACATATGCAGATGACTCCACCCTATGTAGAAAGCAAAGAGAAATTAAAGAGCCTTTTGATGAAGATTACAGAGAGTGAAAGGGCTAGCTTAAAACTCAATGTTTAAGGAACTAAGATCATGGAATCCAGGCCCATCACTTCTTGGGAAATAGATGGAGAAACAATGGAAATAGTGACAGACTTTATTTTCTTGGGCTCCAACATACTGCAGATCGTGACTGCAACCATGAAATTAAAAGATGCTTGCTTCTTGGAAGAAAACCTATGACCAACCTAGACAGCATATTATAAAGCAGAGACATTACTTTGCGAACAAAGGTCTGTCTAGTCAAAACCATGGTCTTTCTGGGCGTCATGTATGAATGTGAGTGTTGGAAAGTAAAGAAGGCTGAGTGCTTACGAATTGATGGTTTCAAACTGTGGTGCTGGAGAAGACTCTTGAACGACCCTTGGACTGCAAGGAGATCCAACCAGTCCATCCTAAAGGATATCAATCCTGAATATTCATTGGAAGGACTGAAGTTGAAGCTCCAATATTTTGGCCACCTGATGCAAAGAACTGAGCTATTGGAAAAGATTCTTATGCTGGGAAAGATTGAAGGCAAGAGAAGGGAATGACAGGGGATGAGATTGTTGGATGGCGTCACTGACTCGATGGACATGAGTTTGAGCAAGCTAAGGGAGATTGTGAAGGGCTGCAAAGCTTGTCACGCTGAAGTCCATGGGGTCGAGAAGAGTTGCACAGGACTTTACAACTGAACTACAGCAACATACTTCTGTAGTTTTGAAACTCAAGAAGAAAACCTTCTGGCTTCGTGCTGCCCTTTATGACTCAGCCATCACAGACTCCCTCAGATGTTTGTATCTACTTTGTCTAATTGACCACAGTGCTGTTCATTTCCTTACACAACAAATTCTCAATAATATTCAAACTGTGGACCCTGCAAACCATGGAGCTAGTCTTGAGTGCATGACTATGGTGCCCTCCCGTGTGCTGGTCTCCACCGACTGTGACCACATGTCTTGGGTTTGGGTGACTAACCTTTCCCAAGACCTGAGAGTCAAAGATGCAGAATCTCAACTCAGAAGCAAGAAGGCGCCTCCCACGCTGTGTCCAGGCCTCACCTGCTCCCAGGAGACAGAGAGTCACACAGCAGAGGATGGCCTGGAACCCATGGCAGCATCAGAAGCCCAAGACCACTGCTAGCTGGGGGTGGGACTTCTGGGGTGAGTGGTGTAAAGTGCTGACCCTCCTGCTTCCCTGATTGGAGCATTTGCCTATGAGGTCAGAGCTCTGTGTCCACAGGCTGACCTGTCTACTGTACTCCTTGCCAGGACGAAAGGTGAGCCTTTTATATCAACCCTGCCCTTCACAGACCCTGAGCAAGGGGTGGGTGTGAAGGGTGCCCCATTCCCATATGCCCACAACATAGCTCGTTGTCCTCTGCCTGCCCCTGCCTGACACTCAGCCAGGCACTCACCTGGCTGGGAATCACCAGGCAATCAGCTGACAATCACCCAGCCCTCACCAGCCACCCCAACCCCCTCACCTCCACTACCCTTGCAGCTCCAGGAGACCATCTCCTGGGCACATCCTGAGGATCCAGGCACATTCCTACTTTCCCTGGCAGTGAAGAGTCTCTACTGGTTCCACGTGTCCTGGGACCTCAGAATCTCAGGGATCTCAAACCTGCTTTCTCAGGCAGGCATGTAGCCAACGTTCCTTAAAGCTGCCCTCCCCAGGGTGAATCTCCACCCCTCCCAAGTCAATCTCCACCCCTCCCAAGTCACCTGGTTACCGTGAGCCCACAGCGCCTCCTCGTGGCCAAAGGTCCAGAGTCTCATGGATCTCTGCCTTCTGTCTAAAGCAAGAATATAAACACCCCACACCCTAAGCGCGCGAGCTCACACACACACACACACACACACACACACACACACACACAAACACACAGACGTTCTACTGTCTTCCCACCCTGGCTGACTTCAGATTGGTCTTCAAATTCCCTCTTAGCTTCTGGAGGTAAAAGACTGTAGAAACCAACATTTCCATTAAGAAGAAAATAATTTCACTGACAGTAGCATGCTCAGGTGGAATCACACAGACCTTCAATACAAACACTCTGATAAGCTCAGGGGAATACAGCCTGGGACACTGCTTTCCATAGATCCCTCTGATTAATCAGATCCACATATTTCTTGATTTTCTATATAAATTAAATATCACTAATTCTAGGTAATGTATTTATATACAGAAATTATATATTAACCCATTGATTACTAAAATTATAAGACTTTGAAATTAAAAAACCAACTGTGCACTATATTTAATGTAGATGTAGCTAGGTGTAATAAGAGTCTGCACACTCATTGTCACACCGCAGACATTTGGCCCTTGGCTGCAAGGTTCCGCGTGTGAGAAGCCTGCAAGGGGCTCTCCTACTTCCAGGCCGCAGGGCTTCCCTTATCTTTTTGCACAGACTGGAGGTGGCCATGCAGCGCCGTGGAGTAACCACAGGCACAGAAGTACACAGATGTCTGGGAGCGGTTGGCAGCCTCCAGCGTGAGAGGGAAGTTCTCTGTGTATTTGGTCTGGAGACACTGTACCCGTCGGTCACATCTCCTTTCTCTGTGGCAGGAGGGATTACTGAGTAATGGATCAGCCTCAGCCCGTGTCCCTGGTCTTGTCAGTACCAGTACATATAATCATGGTTCAGATCCTGAGTACAATTAAGTGTCGCGCTCTGTCCTGTCCTCACGACCTGGAATCTGGGGTCCTAGGTGACACCAGCGTGGACCGCCCCTGTGGAGAAGGAGGACCAATGCTACAGTCAGATTGGACATGTTTAGTACTGGCACCCGAAGGGGACCCTACCCCCAGGACTCACCTGCCTGCAGGAGACAGAAGACCACACAGCCCAGGAGGCAGGGGCTCATGGTGGGGGCGGGCAGGCAGAGGGCCCTCTGGTCTGAGTGTGGATGAGAGGAGAGAGGCTCTCCAGGCAGTCCTTCTGAGATGTCACCGTCCCTGCCAGGCCCCAGAGCAGACCTGTCACTCAGAGGCCACGCCCCTTCCCCAAGAGGCTCAAATCAGAAATGATCCTAAGTGAACAGTTCACATATGACCGACATAGACAGCGTATTAAAAAGCAGAGACATTTACTTTGCCAACAAATGTCCATCTGGTCAAAGCTATGGTTTTTCCAGTGGTCATGAATGTATGTGAGAGTTGGACTATAAAGAAAGCTGAGCACCGAAGAATTGATGCTTTTGAACTCTGGTGTTGGAGAGGACTCTTGAGAGTCCCTTGGACTGCAAGGAGATCCAACCAGTCCATCCTAAAGGAAGTCATTCCTGAATATTCATTGGAAGGACTGATGCTGAAGCTGAAACTCCAATACTTTGGCCACCTGATGCGAGAAACTGACTCATTTGAAGAGACCCTGATGCTGGGCAAAATTGAAAGCAGGAGGAGACGACGACAGCAGAGGATGAGCTGGCTGGATGTCATTGCCGACTGATGGACATGCCTTTGCGTAACCTCCGGGAGTTGGTGATGCACAAAAAAGACTGGCGTTCTGCAATACAGGGGGTTGCAATGAGTCGGAGACGACCTAACGACTGAAAGATCTGAACAGTTCACAACAGGGAGACCCACACAGCTAGATGAAAATAAGCCTTACAAGTTCTTCTAAACTTTCCCTAAAACTGTTTGCAACTTTCTGTACATTTTATTCCAGAAATAGCTGTTCATTAATACATACATTCATTTTTTTATCTACATATTTCTGTGGTTTTGAATCTCAGGGAAATTCCTCAGGGTTTTCTGCTACCCTTTAGAACTCACATGTCCCCAGTAATCCTTCATGTTTCTACTTTGTTTAATTGACAACAGTCCTGTTCATGTCCTTCCACCGACAATGATTCTGGATCTGTTTCCCCAACCTTAGGGCAGGCTCATCAACACCTGAGGAATCGTTGGGCTCTCTTTCTTATGAATTCACTGACTGACAAGGTGCCTGTCAAATGCAGGCTCAGCGCCTTCATGTTCACCTGAGGACGTGCTTCTGGTGTCTGAGGGGTGGAGGAGCAGCAGGCCGAACCACCTCAGACCCGTGGCCCACCTTGCTTTGAGGAGAGAAGCTGGCTGCCCAGCACCACGGATGACATGTTGGCATAAAGGAGTCCAGACGTCCAGGGACGTCGGGAGAGATGGCTGACCCCAGAGCAAAGGAAAAAAGCTCCAATTTTACGTGAGACATCCGTTTCATGGGAGTACTTCCTTGTGAAAGTAGCTGCCATTCAGTGACTGACATTCTAGAGCCCTAGACTATATCACATCGCACAAAGCTCACATTTAGAAGGACCCTGTACTAGCT